AGCTGAAAATGTGTACCTTCGGTTGGCCACCAGAACTAAAGCGCCGGCCATGGTGATGGTGTGGGCCGTCATAACACCCGATGGTCGCTCTCTGCTCGTGTTAATCGACCGTGGCATCAGAATAAATGCTGAATATTATCGCGAAAATATTCTGGAGGGTGTATTAAAGCCTTGGACGCGCAAACATTTTGGCCGCAGACCTTGGACATTCCAACATGACTCAGCACCATCGCACTCAGCACGTGCTACCCAAGAATGGTTACAAAATGTAGTTCCTCGCTTCATTTCCTGGGCACAATGGCAACCAAAATGTCCGGACTTTAGACTATTGTGTCTGGAGTATTTTGGAAAGCAAGGTTGGCACTAAAAAATACCAAAGTGTCGATCACCTCAAGCAAGCGCTTCGCCGGGAATGGGACAAAATACCGCAGAGCAACATTAGGGTATCGTGTGACGGTTTCATTGGCCGTTTGAAGGCCATAATTCGTGCCAATTCCAACAAATCTAAACTTATTCTAAAATTTGATGGTATTTCCGGCATTTTTTGATTTCATTCAATAAAATTTTAAACATATAAAAATTATGGAGTTTGACTTTGTTGCATTTTTTTATTGATCACGTGCTGCTGCGAGAACTTTAAATCAATCATCGAAGCTTGGATTTCAAAAATGCTCTTTCAAAAAGGTCCTTGAATTTTAAGTTTAATTGTGGCTTAGTTTCAAATATCTAGCAAAGTTTTGAAAATTTAAAATCAAATAAGTCTTTGGATTTTTAGAAACCCCTAAAAATGGTTCTAAAAAATCACGAATTGTGACCTAGTTTGAAATAGAAAATTTTTGAAAGTTTAATAACTAAAACAATTTAAATGTGACTAATATTGTAAACCATTATCAAATAATTTTTTTAAAAATTTCGTTGGGCTATCTTAAAAATTCTTATTATTTTGCAAACCGCCATCTCTGCAACTTCTATTCATTTTTTTTCTAACGCACGCGATTTATCAAAATTTGTGCAAATTTTTCTTTTGTTAGCATACCAAACTAATTTTTGCAAACACCAAGGTCAGTTTGTAGCAGCAAATTTGGAAACCGACCTTTTCTTGGTGACCAAAGGAAGTGCGGTGATAAACCAAATCATTTTTTCTGCGAAATTAGTTAAACGTTTGTTTTTGATTTCTTTGTGTGTTGAAAAATAAAAGCAAATAAAATATAGTCCAAGCTCAAGCTCAATAAAAAAGTAAATAAAAATTCAAGATAAACACAAAATTAAATGAGAAAGAAACCTATTATCTAGACTTAAGAAAATTAAATAGAGAGCTTCAAGAGAGGTTTTTAACCAATAAACAGTGTTTTTTACATGGAAATATTTTGTTTGAACAAGAAAATCATTTTGGATTTAGACAAATATTAATTTCGTAAATTATTTAGTTATTTCACTTGTAATTCGTAACATTAAATATTGTAGTTCGTAATATAAAAACTATTTCCTTTTCTTTCGAAAAATGTTGCCTTTTAAGTCGAATACAATTTTTGGTGGATAAGGAGATGGCATTGAAAATAGAAATCTAACTACTGAAGTGTTTTGCCGTTAGTTAAGCGTTTCATCAGGCATATTTTATGCTTTTTTAGCGGCTATTCGAAGATCAGTTTTGGAAAGTTCCATTTATGCATACATGATTCAATAAATGCATGTGCCAATTGATGTGAAACAATTTTTCAGAAGTCCAAACAAAAAATATTTTCAGCATTGAGCCTGGCTGGGATTAGAAGCTTCTTCCCCGCCAGAAACATCCCAATACCAGAATTCGTAATGAACACTACTTTATAAACTTGATTTTCATACCATTTTTATTAGCTACCCCACACTGTGTTGCAGGGTATTCTATCTTTGCTTGTAACATGAGGAAGGTGACGAAATAGACCCAAAGTTACTTTTGAGGATCCCCATAGAATCACAAATCAATAGATTTATGTATGTCCATCGATCTGTCCGTCTGTTCGTCCATGTATTTATTTTCCGATAACATTTTACACAGGACATTTGTTCGACCTAATTGAAATTCATGATAATAAGATCAGATTTGGATATATCTCCCATATATAGTATCGGTCAATTTCATAACTATATGGCACGAAAAAAGTAATATAAGTCCGTATCGAATTCATTTTTTGAATACCTGGACATGATTCGACCCTGTGTTTCAAGTGTGGTGAATATCGGTTCAGTTTTAGATATAGCCCAAAATAGTATATATTGCAAATCAGATGCATAGTATCAGTCCAAATCGGATCAAGGGCTTTTGCTACACTTCCTGTACGAATTTCCATAAAACAACATTTCCATTCTACACAAAACCAAAGACTCTAATTTTAAAATTCAGTTTTCCAGCTCCATCCTTTTCCTTAATATCGAATTTAAGACCATTTAGAACTTTTCGTACTTTTTGATACGTTTCTCAAAATCCACCCCCATATATCAACCCCACTTTAACATTACAAATTTCCAGCTCCAGCCGTTTACCCAAATCTAATTTGTAACAAAGTTAGTACAATTTTTACACTTGGTACATATTTTAAGAACCAGCATCTTATATTAATCCTAGTTCCCCAGCTTAATTATTACACCAAATGTCTACATTACAGCCCTATCCGGTTATATAATACCAAATGGTACCAAATATAGTAGCTTCATTCAAGATTTTAGTACATTTAAGTTTTTAGTTGTTACATACTTGCGTTTTTAGTACATTTTATATATTTACGGAATAAATGGTATCATATGTCCGCCTCCAGACTCTAAGCTACCTCCTCACAAATATTCAGCCACATCCGAAAATTCGTTCTTGACTTATAGTATAACTAAAACAACTTTCTTACATATATATAAATTATTTCGAATTATTTTGGTTTAATGTGTGGTTAGTGTATAACTTTTTCCATTTTTATACCCCTCACCTTGAAAATAGTTAAGATACTCCAATTTTACCATTCCGTTTGCATCAGCCCTAAATATTGAGCATCAAATTTCCAGTCGATTTAAAGAAGTGCGTCTGTCTGTCTTTTGAAATCACGATACAGCCCACATTATTTGACGTAGAGCCCAAAAAATTTAGCAGAGCAATTTGTATTGTGTCTAGGATGGTTCGTATTGAAAATGAGATATATCGGTCCACGTTTTGGTTTAGTCCCCATATAACGGTACCTCCCGATATTCGGTATTTTGATTATTTATGCCACAATTTTTCACGGATTTGTTTGAAAATTGGTATTTGTAGGTCATAACAGGTCCTAGTTCGTGTGGCGAGACATTGCATGTATAGGTCCACGCTTTGGTATATAAAGGTATTTTCATGAATTTCCCCATATTTTCTGACGAATTTTTCTCCAGTGGCTGAACATTGTATATACAGTGTGAGATAAAAAACTGCAACAAAGTCAAACGCCATTATTTTTTAATGTTTTTTTTTAATTTTATTGAATGAAAGCAAAAAAATGTCGGAAATAGCATCAAATTTTAGAATAACTTTAGATTTGTTCGAATTGGTCATATTTGGCACAAATTATGGCCTTCAAACGGCCAGTGAAACCGTTACACGCTGCCCGAATGATGCTCTGCTATATTTTGGCCCATTCCCGGCGAAGCGCTTTCTTGAGGTGGTCGACATTTTGGTATTTTTTAGGCCAACCTTGTTTTCTAAAATACTCCAGACACAATAGTCCAACGGATTAGTATCCGACAATTTTGGTGGCCATTGTGAGCTGGAAATGAAGCGTGGAGCCTCATTTTGGAACCATTCTTGGGTGGCGTGTGCCTCTGAGTGCGATGGTGCTGAGTCCTATTGAAATGTCCAAAGTATTCGGCCAACATTTTTGGCAGCCCACACCATCACCATGGCCGGCGTTTGAGTTCTGGGGCACATTTTTAGCTGACCTATTTGGCAAGTAAACAAGATCATTTTGTTTGTTTACAAGCTGCCGGACAATGAATGTTTTCTCATCGGAGAAAACCAAATTCGGCAGTTCACCACTTTCGGCTAAGCGAAGCAACTCTTTGGCTCTTTTGAGTCAATTTTCTTTCAATTGCGGTGTAAGTTCTTGCACTTTTTGGAATTTCAATGGCTTTACCCCTAGCTCATTTTTCAATATTTGCTGAATGGAATATTGCGATATGTTCAGCTCACGAGCCATTTTTCGGCCACTGCGACGCGCGTTTCGATTAAGTCGCTTCTCTACTTTTCAAACCATTTCTGCTGATGTTGCTCTTTTCTTCCGTCCACTTCTTTGACGTCGGGCTACGCTTCCAGTAGCGAATAGCGGTAGCGGTAACGAGCGATGGTACGAGACACAAAAGATTTATTCACAATTGAATGCTGGAGTGCTCTAATGATAGCCACTTGTGATTTTCTAGCCAAATATAAAGAAATCACACTATACGCCTGAATTCCATTACTTTTTTTCTGGAACAGTTTTTGTACGCTTGTAAAAAATATAATGAGCTATCACTGGAATAATTTTAACAGCTGTCGGACGAATGGCTTAGAAATGACCGCAGTCTGAAGTTGCTTGCAGTTTTTTCATCTCACCCTGTATTTAAATTAGATGGTGCCGCCCTTGTATTTACTCAAATATTTCACAGTGTAAGCATTACACATTTCTAAAAATAAGCCACATAGCAGTCTGAAACACTGTTCAAACTCAAAACGAAGCCCAGCGTCTTTGCGATAACAATTTTCAAGAGCACACCGACTATAAAAGACTCCACGGCGAGATTAAGAAATCACAGTGCGGATTAAACCGTTTGTTGGTAACGTAGTTCCGTACAGAGCGGGAGTCAAACAATTAGAAGTGCTTAAGAAAAAATATATCAAAACAAAGGATAATATTGAAATAAATCCTTTAGTGCCTTTAAACACTTAAAATGAAAAATAAACAATTATTTTTATAACAAAGTGAATTTTATGAAACAATAATGAATTAAAAATTGTAAATCTCGTGTGTATTTCAAATAAGGACAACAATAAATCATTTGCATTTAAAAGACAAGGTGCCTTATAATGGCGAAACTATATTTATTTATCGGAGTGCTTATAGCAATCGGTGGCGCTTTTGCCAATGTTGATGATGGTGACGTCGTTGATACCGAGGATATAAAGTGAGTAGGAAGTTTACTACTATTTTCTTTAAAAATGTGTCATAAAATATTTTCAGGACCTATTATGAATAAAGAACATTGCATACGAATTTCCAAATTCTAGAAATAGGTTTTAATAAACATTTTTATTTTTGAAAAATATGAAAAGTACTTCGAATTTATAATTACGATTTTTGTCTGTAACTCCTTTTGCTTTGTTAATGCTATTTCCTTTCAAGAATTTTTAAAACGGTTTTCCTTTTTTATTTTCATTTTGAGAAATGGATAGTGACATAATTTTTAGGAATCTCCTTTAAGTCAAAATTATATAAAAAAAAAATAAATAAATAAATAAGAAAAACAGTAAAGAAAGTCCTAAAGTCGGGCGGGGCCGATTTTATGATACCCTACACCACTTTGCTAATTTAGTTGAGCTCCACTTAATAATTAAAAGTTTTTATGGGAGAATTCAATCATACACGCTATGATTATAATTATAAAGTTCAAAGGACTAAATATGCCGAGGCATTTGTATCTTTTAAATTCGGAATTGTATTGCCCATTTGGTGCACAATTAATTTGAAATCGGATAAAGATATGTATGGGAGCTATACCCAAATCTGAACCGATCTCGATAAAATTTGGCAAAGATATTTCTAAGCGGTAGTTGATATATTTCCCAGAATATCGTTGTTACGGAGTGCATATTGCGGCTGTAGGTAACAAATACAACAAATCGGACGAACAATATATATGGGAGCTATAACTATATCTGAACCGATCTTCACCAAATTTGACATACTACCTTCTAGACTAAATTCGGTCGTATGTGCTAAATTCCATCCCATTTGGACATATATTAGACGTTTGGTGCACAATAAATGGTAAATCGGACGAAGTTATATATGGGAGCTATATCCAAATCTGAACCGATCTCGATAAAATTTAGCAAATGTATTTCTGAGCTGCATTTGATATATTTCCCCAAATATTGTTGTTACAGGGTCCATATTACGGCTGCGGAGGACAAAAATAACAAATCGAATGAACAATATATATGGGAGCTATAGCTATATCTGAACCGATTTCGAATACTTATTTGGCATACTTATTTTCAGACCTAATTTGATTGTATGTGCAAAATTTCATACTATTCGGGCTGATATTACACGTTTGGTGCACAATAAAAGGCAAATCGGACGAAGATATATATGGGAGCTATATCTAAATTTTTACCGATTATCTCCAATTTCAATAGGGTTCGTCCTTGGGCCAAACAAATGATGTTTGGAAAATTTCATCTCAATCGGATAATAAATGCGACCTGCATTTTCTTCACAAGAATACATGGACAGACGGACGGACTGACATGTATAAATCAACTCAGAAAGTGATTCTATGCAGATCATCAAAAGGAACTATGGGTCTATCTCGTTTTCTTTTGCCTGTTACAAACAAATGCACAAAGACATAATACCCTGACCACCTTGTGTTGTATGGTATAAAAATGCTAAATTTGTTGTTTTGCGTATTTTCCATGCCTCCTTTAACAAAACATTTGCAGTCGATATACAGATATATCCGTCCAGTAACTCTAAACTTTTCGAAAAATATTATATCCTGAAGGAACGCCATCGACTAAGATCAAATACCATGATATTTGTATCAAACCTATTTCAGATATGATAATGGAACCCTACATTTTCCCGTTTATTGGGGTGGTACAGGAATTTGACAATTTTAGTCAAAATTGAAAACTAATTTCACATTTTTACGAGTTTTTAATATTCATGGAGGATATACTAACGAAACTATCCCATAATCGATCTTTATTTTAATTCGATAGAAATATTATGATGTGCTAAGTTCAGGAAATCAGATAATTATTTCAGAATTCTACAGAACTCTACACTTTATGCGAGTTATGATAAATCAAAATTGTATCCTCTCGTGAGAGAGGACTAGAAAGAGAGTCCGATATATATTTTACAATGTTTAAGGTTCGACCGGGTCGTGTGTTTCACGGGATTTAGGCTCAATATCTTGAAGGATCTAGTTATACAAAACGGTGTGTGCTTTCTCATTTTTAAATAATCTTATATTAGTGGAAGTATTATTAGTAGAAAATTTAAAGAAATTAGATGAATCGTTTCGAGTTTTATGAGAGTCATTATTTTTGAAAATGTTGATGCTCTGTGGGGAAGGTATTAGAAGAAGTGGACCGATTTTTGCAGATTTTTTCAAAAGTTGTGGCGGACTATATAATACACTGCACATCTACGCATATACGTTCATATTGGAAATTTGTGTGAAATAAAACAAATCAACTTTGATCGCTACTGATTGATTATTATAGAGCGATTTTAATATGAAATCGGATGGACATAAAACATGAACGTATATCTTAATTTTAATTGTTTAGCACTAAATTTGAAGGAGGTATTTTTATGCTGTTATGAATTTTGGAAGGCATATTTATAATATCCTTGTTTTATTCTAGTTCTTCATCCTTGAAACGTTTAAATTAAATATCACAGTTTTATCTTTATGACAATAGATGCGAAATGTAATTTTGACGAAAAAATTACAAGTTTACCTGTAAGAATACGAAGAAGAGGAACTCCCTTATTTTACAAAACCTCACATTCCTTCGGTCAACATTTCCTCTAGAACGAATGGAACAAAACTTGCTAGAATAGTCTGAAGATGTGTGTAGAAATTTCAAATCATAAACAAATAAAAAAGCGGTATGTTCGGAACTTTGAATATTCTTCACCATTTGGAAAGAATCTGGAAATTTTCAAAAAAAAAAAAAAAAAAAAACAGTAAAGAAAATCTTAAAGTCGGGCGGGGCCGACTTTATGATACCCTACACCACTTTGCTAATTTAGTTGAGCTGCGCATAACAATTAAAAGTTTTTATGGGAGAATTCAATCATACACGCTATGATTATAATTATAAAGTTCAAAGGACTAAATATGCCGAGGCATTTGTATCTTTTAAATTCGGAATTGTATTGCCCATTTGGTGCACAATTAATTTGAAATCGGATAAAGATATGTATGGGAGCTATACCCAAATCTGAACCGATCTCGATAAAATTTGGCAAAGATATTTCTAAGCGGTAGTTGATATATTTCCCAGAATATCGTTGTTACGGAGTGCATATTACGGCTGTGGGTAACAAATATGACAAATCGGATGAACAGTATATATGGGAGCTATAGCTATATCTGAACCGATCTTCACTTAATTTGACATACTAGCTTCTAGACTCAATTCGGTCGTAAGTGCCAAATTTCATCCAATTTGGGCAAATATTTGACGTTTGGTGCACAATAAAAGGCAAATCGGACGAAGATATATATGGGAGCTATATCTAAAGTTTGACCGATTATCTCCAATTTCAATAGGGTTCGTCCTTGGGCCGAACAAATAATCTGTGCAAAATTTCATCTTGATCGGGCAATAAATGCGACCTGTACTTTGTTTACAAAAATACATGGACAGACGGACGGACAGACGGACGGACGGACATGCATAAATCGACTCAGAATGTGATTCTATGCAGATCATCAAAAGGAACTATGGGTCTATCTCGTTTCCTTTTGCCTGTTACAAACAAATGCACAAAGACATAATACCCTGACCACCTTGTGGTGTAGGGTATAATTATCAACTTACTTCAATTTGTTCGCTTGAGTTATTTCCACAGATAGATAGACAGGCAGACGGACGAACATCATTAAATCGACATAGAATGTTATGCTGATTAAGAATATATGTACCTTGTAGGGTCTAAAATATATATTTCGAGGTGTTACATATTAAGACATAAAAACTCTCGATACTTGGCCTATATAGAACAAGTAAAACAAGTAAAAAAACATTGATTTCGGCCGGGCAGAACTTTTAATACCCTCCACCTTAGGGTAAAGGAAGCATCAGCACCCATTATGACCCACAAATACCAATTTTTAGACATATTCGTAGGAAAATATGACAAAAATCATAAAAATACCGAATATTGGGAGGTACCGTTATATGGGGACTATACCAAAACGTCATCCGATACATATAATTTTCAATACCAACCATCCTAGACACAATACAAATTGTTCTGCTAAATATTGACACTCTACGTCTAATAATGTAGCATGTATCGTGATTTCAACAGACAGACAGACGGACATCGTTATATCGACTAAGAATTTTATGCTGATTATGAATATATATACTTTACGGGGTCTACGACGACTATTTAGTGATGTTACAAACGGAATGACAAAGTTTATATACCCCCTTTCCAAGGTAGAGGGTTGAAAATGGATCTAAAATAAATTCTCAAAATACCGAATATGTTAAGGTACAGTTATATGGGGGCTATACGAAAATATGAAAAAAATACCAAATATGTAGAGGTACATTTATATGGGGAATATACTAAAACTTGGATCTATATACATCTATTTATATAGGATATTTCCTATGTTTTACATTGTGGCTGAAACGCCCTAAACGCCTTAAATCTGCGGAACAGTTATATGGGCTATACCAAAAAGTGGGCCTATATTGTTATTTTCAATTCCAAAAACCCTGCAGACCTAAGTATATATCTGAATAAAATATTATCAACATTTTTAATTTGGTTCGGAAGATAGATAATTTTTTTGACATAAGGACACAAAGATAGGCGGACGGACATGGCTAAATTGACATAGAACCGTATGCTGATCTAGAATATGTGAATACAGTAGGGGTCTATATGTCGAAGTGTTACAATCGGAATGATAAACTTAATATGCCCTCCATACTATGGTGAAGGGTATAGAAATCTGTAAGAAATTTAGGGCAACTATTGATTAAATACAAATTGAAAAAATCTAGATACCAGTTTACACACAATATATATAGAAACATTCGAACGAAAATATGTGTTGCTATAAATCTTCCTTTCGATTGACATATATTTTGAGAAGAAATATTTTCTATTCCTTAAATCTTCTAATTGACATTTTGC